AATAATTTTTTAAGAGATGACTTATTTGATAGAAATCGTGTATGCCTTCAAAATTTTCTCTCTTTTCAACATTGATATATGTCCTTAATCGAGTCCTTTTAAATTTGGTTTCCTTTCACATGAAGGTCTAATAAGATAACTTCCTAATTTTATGATTTTACTTAGAAAAATATATGTTTTTTAAAAAGGGAAACCAAATTTTAATATTTTGTTTTCTTTTAGGTTAGTTATTAGGTTCTAGAGGATGCATCTCCAAATTTTGGGTCCAAAAAATATTCCTAGCATGAGTTTTACCTAAGAGAGCAAATGCGCAATGTATACTCTTGTGGGAGCAAAAATTATTTTTCACTTGACTTAAAGGTATAATTTTGCTGTGGGAAACTTCAACTGGTTAGCAAAAGTACATAAAGAGAGTTTAGTTTTAGTACAAGGAGGTCATAAAGATTCTTGTCCTTAAATTTTAAATCAAATGATTGTAAGTGCTTGTGACTAAACTCAAAGCCCAACCAAAAATGTTCGGAACTTCATAATCTCAAACCATCCAATTGGACATATAATAGCTAAGATTAATTGTGACCTTGTGCTAAAGATAAATGATCTTATAATATACAATCCCTACCTTAGAAATCAATTTCACATCTAATTATCAAATTCAAAACTAAAACCATGGTGCAGATCGAGGTACTTGGAAATATTTAAAATGTATTTGTCTAGGTACTAGATTATAAGATGCAACGGTTTTGAGATTTAAAATAGCTTTTTATATATATATCTGAATATTTAAAGGTTAAGATGATCCATTAGAAGATTTTATATACCCAAAGGTATGATCAATTAAAACAAAAATTCAGCATCAATAAATTTTTTATTAGAATTAGGTGATACTTTATATCAACTTCCCCCATCCTCGCCCCCCCATTTGATCATGGTTGGAATGACTTGAGTGACAATGTTAGAAGTTGGCTCTTGAAAGTGCAATCTTGATTCGTCGGCTCAAAGTGTTTTATCTTTAATATTTATTCTATAAATCATTTTGCAACAAAATTTGAGACATTTATGCATCTGACAGGCGGCTTACATGATATATAAAAAAAAATTCTTTGATAGAAAACAATCAAAATACCCCTGTAATTTTTTGCCGCATTTAGGTTATTTATTTTTATTAAAAACATTTTTTTATTAATTTATCATGGTGGAAAATTGTTTTAAAGATGGATCGGGCTTTGGTGGTAATACGAACGAGCTCTCCGATGAGGTTTATGATTCGATTCTCATAAAAAAAAAGTAGGGCCCAAATCCCCAATGATTTACTCTCTTTTTTATTGTCTTGGGACTTACCACTGTTATTTACTCAAAAAAAAATTTGTTCATTTGTTTTTAGAACGAAAAAAAAAGAAAAAGAAAAATTGTGTCATGGGACCGTATTTCTACAATTGCAATTGAAACTATCTAAATATTTTATAAAATAGAAATTATTATTTATAATTTTTTTTCATATTTATGATCATTATCTCAAAAATAGATTTTTAAGACGTGAATCATTTCGACGAGGACTCATGAAAACCGTGTGCATCCGTAAATCCCGTCTCTCTCTCTCTCTCTCTCTCTCTCTCTC